AAATGATTGTGCTCATGAGACAATACTTCTCTTGGGGTGTAATCGAGCCCCTGGCTAATAACTAGACCAACAGGTCAGCTTTTTAATATAATTATTAAAAAGCGATTTTTCATTGTACTTTGTAAATGATATCGTAATATTATTCGAATGAAGTTCCTTACCGCGCGTTATACGCTCTGAGCGGGTGGGAGCGAGATCGAAAAATGATTAACAAGACTTTTTTCCGACGCTTCTTGCTGTACGTCTACCAAAATTCGAAAAGAACTTCATTCCGACCGGGGGTCCATAGACCCCTCACGCCGTTTTTTGTTTTTTATTTTGAATCATCATCATCAATAATAGCCTCTCCCTAGAAAGGAGGCTTTGGCCTACTATACCACGCTGGCCAAACGGGTTGGTATAGGGTTTGTGTCAAGTCTTCCTTCTCTTGCAGTGTTGTTGTGCTGCGTAGTTTGCTCCCTTAGTCGGCTCTTACGACACCCACGGGATGAATAGGGGTGGTGACACTCCGTATTCTTAATCCGTCACCACATGGACACTTTGGATGGTTTGACACAATTCAGTTCAAAGGGGTTGATGACTGTCAAGTGAAATCAGTATCTTTTTATTAAACATCATAACCATATTCGTGGTACATTTTAATACAAAAGCATGATATCATATCTAGCTTTTGTCAAATTATTTATTTTAACTAGTTTTTGACCCGCGGCTCTGCCCACGTGTATGTCCAGTATCGCTGTAAAAAGTACCCAATGTTTCTCGCTGATAATGGAGCTTGCGATTGGTGAAAGAATTTTTAAAATCGGTTTAGTGGTTTAGGCGTGAAAGCGTAACCAACAAACAAACAAACTCACGTTCACAATTAAAATATGAGTATGGATGTTGATTTGAATACATCAAAACAATGAAAACATTAAATTTATAATGGAGGACAATTCGGGCTGTACTTAAAATCTCACATTTAATGATCAGGCGGCAATAAATTATTTTAAACCTAGGAACGTAACCTATTGTGTCATTTTCTTGCGAAGGATTTTTAACGGTTTCCCTTTGTTTTTTTCTTATTATTTGTTATTTTCATTATCATACTTACATATTTTGTCATTGTATTTTGAAAGAAATTTTGTCGTTTGTTATGCCATATAAGAGAGGTGTTTTTACATTATACGAATTGAAAATATAAAGAATTTAAATAAAGCTCTTTCACATGGTAACTCTATAATAACAGTAACTCTATGGTTACAACAGTATTCATTTCATTGAATAAGATGGGCAGCCAGCCAGGAACATAGTTTACACTTATTTAAAAAAATACCATAACTATACATAATATAACATCCTTTATTGATACAAAGATTAACAATATTTGAAAACATACTTAATGCAATTTAAAGATTACTTAAATTAATACATATGTTTAAATTAATACATGTCTTTGCCGAATGGGTAGAAATCTACGTTATAAAATTAAGTTTTGACTAAATAGTCACCCATTAAGTGTTATTGCATTAAGTGTTATTGTATTATGTATTTTTTAATGACTATTGCATAATTTATGAAAAGAAGAACACTGACCTTCAAGAATAGAGCGTACTTCTTCCTAACCCTGGCCGGCAACGCGTTTGTGATTCCTGAGTTGCAGACGTTCATGGGCGGCGATGGTCACTTTCCATCAGGTGAACCGTTTGCTCGGCTGCCCCATCTTACATAAAAATAATAATATGAAAACTGGTTTTTCTGTTTCGTAATATTAAAATGATTGAGAAGTCTCGAACTTATTTTGTTCTCTACACATTGAGATGTTCACATAAAACCGACAAAAATACTCCTTAAAATATTTTTTGGATCATTGCCAAAACTCATAGTTTGTTACTCCATAATTCAATTATGATTTATTTACTGTATGGAATATTTTGCATGTGTAGAATGCGTACGTAGATAAACATTTTGTCTATGATAAATGCAATAAGCGCGGAACTGTATATCAAACTGGCGAAAAGTGGTATTTGTTACATACATATAACATTACTGATTCAGTTGTCAGCATCGCAGCTGGCTACATCATATAACAAACACATTGAAAATTGGCTTTTGGCCGTAATATCATTAATATAAATACAATCGGATTGATTTGGAGTGCAGTGGAAGACTAATTTACTTCAAGAAACGTTGATCACGACAATATTTAACTCCCCAAAAGTTCTACAATATCGTTTACCGTTTCAACTAATCCTCTTCCTTTAGCGTGTGATTTGTTAAACAGAATGAACAAAATCCATAACAATTAGTGTGAGGCTGAAAAATGTAGAAGGCTACTGTCACCCATTTACTATTTTTCTTTAGTGTGTGTGTGTGTGTGTGTGTGTGTGTGTGTGTGTGTGTTCAGCGGATTTCTTACACAAACCTTTCTCCACAAGCGTGATCTACCACGCTCCAAGTACTTTCAGATCATCATCAACAACCCATAACAGTCCACTGCTGGATATAGGCCTCTCCTTAGAAAGGAGGTTTTAGATGGATTTGCTAAATATATGCTTTTATACCATTTGTTCACAGATCATCAACAGTGAATGTATGTATGTTTTAACTTCTTATTTCACATTCAATTTATTACGCTCTTTGGTTTTGCGGGTTTTCTTTATGTTTTTCTATCTTAATCTTCCCTGTCTCCAAAAACCGATCCTTTTCATTGGTGTTTAATACATTCATAAATTTCGTACAGATTTGATCTTATTTATTCAAGGTTTCATTCACTTTATTAGAACTGTTACACTTAACTACCGGAATTTTTACAGTACTCTTCAATTCCATGCAGACTGAGTATTTTATTTTCTTTGGCCACACTGACGTGTTGACAGGCAAGAAAGGCGGGAAAAATAATACAGAGGAAAAGCAACTTCTTGGCGATGAGCAGTGTTTTGTTTAATTTGGAAAATTTTGATTATTTATTAAAATAAATCAGTTTGGATATTTTTGGTAATCGTCATAACAGCTAAATAAGCTTGTGATGGAATTTTTTTTTCGTGATTACGAATACTTTGTTCATGTCCAAGTTTATTTTCTTTTGTCTCTACTTTTTGACTCGGCGTGATAATCCACCATACCATTCGCTGTATGGTGTTCGTGGCTTCACCTATGATGCGCCGTAATAGTATTGGGTACCCCTGTAAACAAATCAAAATTATATAAGAACGAATCAACATCAACAACAACAACAGCCTTTAACAGTCCACTGCTGGACATAGGCCTCCTCTCAGGTTTAACGAACGAATAAAAGACGAGAAAGAGAAGCAAAGTTGAATTACACTTTACTTCTTCCCTATAGTTTCCTATAGTTAAACACTTCGATGTTCATGTTTCTCACTTTAGACCCAAGTATATTTTTTTCGAGATTTTTATTAAATTATTTTAGAGAAGAAATCACAATATCTTAGTAGCGATTAACATGACATGAAAGGCGACAGTGAAAATAGACAACATACTAACTAACTAACTAACTAATAACTTTGACATATTTTATTGCTTTTATTTTTTTTGAGGACAACTCCAGCACTAGGCGCAGGAATAGGTATACATATATCCTATCGCGAGGACATCTGCGGTAAAAATAGTACATATATAGCTAAAATATAACATACCTAATAAACGCACGTTTCAAATTAAATTGTCAAATTTTCATTAGGAAATATTTTTGAAGGAAATCTGTGTCTTATATTATAGAAATGTGTTTTGCCATACGAAGCCAATCTCTGTTGGCATTTGTTACAGAGATTTTGGCAATTGAAACATTTCGTGATGAACTGATGAGTAATACAAGTAATATTGTGAACTAAATAATACATAAATGCGAAACTAACTGCTATGTGACATCATTATTACAGTCGTAGAGAGCAAGTCGAAATAATAATTGATGAATTGAAACATCTAAAAAAAAAACAAACACAAGAGAATGCATTTAAAACACTTACATACATACATAACATACGTATATCAGATTAGATTACATATTTTAAGTTTTTAACATTAGGAGGAGGAATGTTGTGTTCATAGCGCCCGCATTCTAGTCTTTTATGATTGATTACTAGTAAACATTCAATATTTCACAATTTAATTTAATCTGTACCAATAAAATATGCGATAAATAACATACCTTGCAGTTTACAGTTGTAACAAATCTTAGATAATATTTTTATTGTATGTAATTAGATAAGGGCCTATACAAAGACAGAGATAAACAGAATATATTTTTATGATGTCCCTTTTTTGTATTTAATTTAATTTCCGAGGAGAAAAAGAGTGCCTAGGTAGATATAATTAAAAAATACGTAGCAAGCAGTGAGAGAAAATATATCAAATGCTTTATGCTAAGCGAGACACAGTTTTTTTAAATTAGTTGTGTTGTTGTTTATTTTCTATTTGTGTTTATTTACCAAATAACATTGCATTTTGTCTAGGTATTTAATTGTCTTGCGTACAAAACGTTTTTTATGTAATGATAAGTTATTATTTGTTTGTTATTTCATTCGCAACGTCTCTGTGCCTCAGTCGAACATCGACGTAGCCGACGTTGATCGGTTTTCAAAACATTTTAAAAACTTTTTGTTATTTTTAACTCTATTTTTCCGTTTAGTTTTGTGTTAATTCGTTTTACTAAATGGTTTTTCACGTTCGCGGAATAGTCGGTCCGCCAAGTGAAAATGCTTAGCGCGAATTTTCCGGTGTCGTCAGTTGATTTTCGCATGCCACAAAGGATGCTCGTGTTTGTGCGTTCCGTAGGTAACAAATTACGATAAAGTGAATTATATGATAAACTATTTATAAGTGGATAAAATACTTTTAATGCTGTTCACAATTTCTTTGAAATAATTGTTTAGTATAGTGACAAAAAACAAAGTGCTCATAACCAAGATGTAGTGTTTGTTTTTTATAAATATATGAATTATTCAATTGGATTATGGTTCGCGTATAAAGAGCAAACTACGTGAATAAACTTTAAGAAAATGTGTTTTAGACTGCTTCTTTGGTTTTTGCTCCTAATTTATTTAGGTAAGCTTTTAAAATTGTTTACATTTGCATTTGAAAAACGAATATGTGTAACCTAGAAAAAGAGTATTCCAAATTTAAAACATCAGATACATTTATAACCATAAATAATACTTTATCTACATTCTGTTTACATCTATAATTTATGTGTAGATAACAAGATTTTAATAAAAGTGAACAATTTGTATTTTGTGTATATTTTCAAGTAGATTTTAGTAGTCTGGCTAAAGTAACCGACCCGACGCGACGATTTAGAAGCTTTTTAATTCTTAAAGTCAAATGTTAGACATACATTTACAAAAGAATTTATTAAAACGGCCGCCTGTGCCTACATATCATTTAATTACATACGATGTTTTGGTTGCCCTGTTCACAATTTATTGTAAGTTATTGTTCGTAATGGAGTTCTTGAAATTTTATTATTATAATTAGCTGCTTCCTATTGTTTTATCAGCGACGTTAAAGACACGTTTTACAAATGGATGGGTTTGCGGCAGTAAAATGTATCGACAAAACCAGAAAAACAAATTTGAAATCCTAGAACAGGTTTACGCGTACGACTAAAAATAATAACACTAGTTTTTTTTGTTAGAATAACATATTATTTGTTTAAAACTATCTTCTGCCTGCAGATACGCTGGCGTAAAATTGTATAAACCATTGTTTAGGATTTTTCTTTACATTCTTACCAATCATGCGTTTGTTTTTGTTTAAAATCCATACATTAATTCGCGAGTACTTCTTTTAAAACAAATACTCATAGTACATTTAGAATTCTTTATGTTTAAATGTAGACGAAGTAAAAATGCAAAAAAAAATCAAACAATATGCGCTAAAATTTTAAAATTATGAAAAACAGCTACATAAAGCTATAGCTAAGCAACAACTTACGTTTCTTAAGATGTCTGTTAGCGTCAATAGTCACTTATCTTGCCAATACGTGATCTGTTTATTTATTTGCCCCCATACCATAAAAAAGGTTTTTACACAAAAAGTCTTATAGTAGCAAAGATTTTACTTGTAGATTTACAGTGTTGAAGCATTTTATGGCTCGTCTTGTTTAAACCAGGAGGAAGATAAAAAGGAAATTAAATGAGATTCATTCACTGGCAATGGCTTACAAACATAGTAAAATTCGTTAAAGGTAACATAACATTTCGTCTTGAATTGATACGCCAATGTTTTTAACACATTACGTTGCTATACTTAAGAGTATTTAAGTTAATACTAAATTATTAACATATAGATGGATACGTCTATGTCCCGTAAGATAGAAGCGTATTAAACGTTTTGCAACATTTTGCCATTTTGAATCCTTTACCCAAAGACAATTTTTTGGGTTCCGTACCTCAAAAGGTAAAAAAGGAACCCTTATAAGATCACTTTCTTGTCCGTCTGTCCTTCTCTTCGTGTGTCACCACCGATTTTCTCATGAACGGGTAGACCTAGCAAGTTGAAATTAATACCAGATACTGAGGTCTATGGTCCCTATTAGGTGTATAAAAATTAAGGTCAACGGCAACGGCGGTCAAGACAAACAAAAAACGTCTTACAGCACAAATAAAGGAATAATTCCAAAAAATAAAAAACGTTAAAAATTAAGATAAATTTTGGTACGTATGTAAAATCTGGGTAGGTACGGAACCCTCGGCGCACGAGTTCGACTCGTACCTGACCGGTTTTTTTTTAAATATTGTGCCGCAGAGGATAATATTCTAGAAAAAGGTCTAAATAGATTTAAAAGTAACCAGAATCGTTAGCTATTGGCCTTTTTCTTATTAGCCTACACCGAACCTATTAAGGCAGCAATTTAATACTATGCATTTCTGTCTCCCTATCCGAGATTTTCCTTTTAGTAGCTCATATTCTATTCGTAAAGAAAACTAGAACTGAGTAACTGTTAGATTAATATTTAGCACATATAAGCTAAGGAAAAGCAAAGAAGACAGGGGCAGCGTAACGATGACTAGAGTTCTTAGTTGACAGATAGAAAATTAAAAAGAACGAGTTTATGAGATTGTTTTCTTTTTTTTAAAAAACAGCTTTCACGTTAAGAATATATCCTGCGACACAGGATATATTCTTAACGAGAGTTGTATTTACAAACATACATGAAACGGACGCAAAAATTTGTAGATCACACAAAGTGTTGTCCCATGTGCGGATCGAACCCGGTACGGTACTTAGCGCAGCAGGAAGCGGCGATGTGACCGCAGCCGCTGCCTCGCTGTATGGCTTAGATTCACAATTAGACACGATAGTTGGCGGTATGATAGGATTCTAGGGGTTTTTTTTAAGTTCTTCTCTTTCTTTAAGTTTAAGTTCTACGATAAACTCACTGATTCCGTGAAAAGCAACAATGGAATGGAGCTATCTCATGGGCCATTTGCTGGTGCTAGGGCACAGATTGGAGTAATCTGTGTGCTAGGGAAACTATAAACAATTCAGGGTGTTGACCATGTTTGTTTACTAACATTACTACAGTGTCCGTATTTTTTTTTAATTAGGCGCAATTTGTTTTGCTACCTATCGTCTTTCTAACGATGAAGTGCTTGATATTGCTTCATCGATTAATATTAAAATATTATAACCCTCAAAAATGGCTTGCTTTACTTTACTGACAATATACATATTTGAGGTCAACAGCAAGCCTTCAGATCAAAAAATACAAGATTTTTAGTATTTCTGCGGCCATTTTGGTGTGAATTGTAGTTTAATTGTGGACGCACGGCTATCGATCGTGATCTGACATTTCTGCCAACGACACATGTATTTGATTTACTTGTTAGTCAACGTTTGTAATGTTCGCTTACTTATCTTATGACCTTATCGTGCAAAAGATTTACCTGAAACGAAGACTTGTAAACATAGACTTATTAATCAAACAGAACTTGAAGGAGGACTAAGTGAGTCTCTGTTTTTCTTTCTTCATTTGATGATTAGATAGTGACAGAAGAAAGAGATAAATTATAGCAGTTGGACTGTTTTTTTACTATATCAAAAGTCCTGAAGAGATTTGGATCAATCTGCAGCAGTAATGTATAAATTTATTTTAACGAAGATTAACCGAATATGAAAGAAATCTTAAATAGTATTATACTATAATAAATAGTATTATACAGTATTAACTTGTACATGCTGATACACATATTTTGAGACACAAAATGTTACTCAACTTTATTTCAATTTTTGGTCCTGATAAATACTTTGATTTTTTACTTTTTTTTTTAAGACAACTCCCAGTTAAGGAATTCCTAAGGAAGGAATTTACAAACATACATGAAAAGGACACAAATAACACCCCAGACTAAGAACAACAATTTGTGGGTCAAACAAAGTGTCGTCCCATGTGGGGATCGGACCAACAAGACACTCAGCGTAGTAGTAATTCTCTATTTATTTAAGCAAGGCCATTTTATTACATCACATCAACAGCCTTTAATAGTCCATTACTGGACATAGGCCTCTCCTTAGAAAGGAGGTTTTGGCCTGCTTTGACCAGTTATTCAAGATAATCAATTTAAGCGAGACCATTGGAGCTATGAACATGCTTCTAATAGTCGAAGAGCCATATTTCGACACTAATGGGGGGTCAGATTAGTGTCGAAATATGGCTATTCGACCGGAGTGATATAACGACCTCACAGAAAACTGGTGTTAAGCAATTCCTAGTAACTAACTTTTCAACTAAAGCAACTAGCTTTTCAACTTGTGAGCAAGATTACCCAAACCGAAACCCCCTTTCCCTCATTATTGAGTAAGGGGGGGAGGGCTAAAATGGCGGGAATGCACTTGTGACTCTTTTTTTATAATTAATTAACAAAACTGATGTACAATCACAAATGCACTACAAACATGAATACAATACTATTCCGATTGCCATCTACTGGATGTGAGGCCTGCATACAAAACATAATTATCTTAAACGAGCTAACCCGCGCAACTTTGTCTGCGTACCTCAAAAAGAATAAAATGCCCCGTTTTATAAAATTTCCCGTTTTTGCAACATTTTTCACAGCCTATTGGTCTTAGCGTGATGAAATATAGCCTATAGCCTTACTACTATTGTGGAGTAATCAATTATTCTATTACTATGATAGGACTATACTACAGGACATCTTAAAATGCAATATTTGTGAGCACGCTTTGCCAGCGTGGTATAGTATGCCAAAACCTTCTCTCAAAGGAAAACTTATATCCAGCAGTGGACTTTTAAAAGAACTACAACGTCCCCCCTACTTTCTAGACTGAAATCTGACCTTGATTTATATTTGCAATCTCTATAGATACTTACTAGATATAGATATGACGTAAGACGAGTTCATACATTATCTCATTCTTATAACGAATTATCTATTGTTCAATGTGATGAAGTGCCTGCCGTGTAGTAACGCTCGACAATGCGTTCTTGACTTAACGACAAATGTTACGACATGTTCATCAATTAACTTCACAATCATCTCCTAATATATTGAGGACATACAATGAATAACACCAGCGATTATCGGACGTTTTAGGACCTGGCTGTAATTTATAGACTAACGGCTAACGGAGGATTAAAATGTATAATAGCAAATACGTGGATTAAACCCTTTTTTTAAACCAACAGCTTAGCAATAAGACGATAGGTTTTGGTTAAATACTAATAAGTGTATTTTAGACAAGCTATTGCCGGTGGCTTCTCTAGCGCGATTGTTTTATCTCACGGACAACCGTTCACCCCTTATTTTACCCCCTTTAATTGGTGAAATTTCATAAAAAAAATTTTAGAGGGTTTTTGCAGCCTTAAAGCATCAGCTCTTAAAATTTCAAGTTTGTTGCTCAAGTGGTTTAAGCTTTGCATTGATGAATCAGTCAGTTAGTTAGGGCAAGTAGTTTTATATCCATATTAATATTATAAATGCGAAAGTGTGTCTGTCTGTCTGTCTTTCTGTCTGTCTGTCTGTTACCTCTTCACGCTTAACGCTGAACGCTGAACCGATTTAGATGAAATGTGGTATGAT